CTGTGGAGTATAAGAACAAAGGAAAAACTGAAGGACAAAACAGGAGCAGAATCACAGAACCCAAGAAAGGACTAACAGTTACCAAAGGGAAAGGGAGTGGGAAGGATGGGTGGGAAGGGAGGGAGAAGTGGGGGTGGAGAAGAAAGGGGGCCTTATGATTAGCATGTATAAGGTGGGGGGGGGCACAGGGAGGGCTGTGCAACACAGAGAAGATTTTATAGCATCTTACTACGCTGATGGACAGTGACTAATGGGGTATGTTGGGGGGACTTGGTGAAGGCAGAGTCTTGTAAACATAATGTTCCTCATGTAATTGTAGATTAATGATACTAAAAAAAAGTCCCTTTTTGTTTGCTGACATGCCTATGGCTTTGCTATAGCTTGCATGTGGTGGATTGCAATTCTCTGCTACTCCTGAATAAACCCATTTTGCTGGTAAGATAACTTTTAATTTTAAGGTTAATCTATATGGAAAAATTGAGCTATACAGTTAGGATTTTTATATTTTCCTATATGAAATTGTACCTTAATAAAGTTTTTTTAAAAATAAATAAGTAAAATAACCCTATGAATCACAGTTCACTGATGTGGTAGCTGAGTTCCAGAAGGTTAGCTAAGTAGTCACAGTCAGTGGCAAAGGCAGGATTCAAACAGAGCAGAAATGCACTCTCTCTCCCAGTACAGTTACTTCACAAACTATAGCAGTTAACCTGCAGAGAAGGGGTCATGGAGGTGAACTTGAACCAGTAATACACCTAGAATCTAGTCTTTGCGAGAGAAATCCACTATTCCTGCTGCTCTGTAACAGGAAGAGGAAGCACCTGTTATTGTAAGCATCAGTTAACCTTAAACCTGGGTGTATGGTATTAGTTAGCATGGAGCCTTGTACTCATTAGTAATTGTGGCAGGCATTTGTAGAACTGCAAAGTTGAATAAATCCTGGTCTCTGACCTCAAGGAACTTAGAAATTAATCTATTCATGAATGTCCAGAGCTGCAAGGTTCCTCTATGAAGTGGCCTCTAACTAACATTTCCACCTGGTCAGTAGAAAAGCAAAAAAGACAGAAACAGCTAAAATAATAAGTCAAATTGGTAGATTTTTTTTTTAATCACTAGTGTGCAAGATCTCAAAAGTACCTTTTTCAAATCTGTTTGACATAAGTTATTAAAGCAACAGAAGAACCATTAGCTTATAACCATGAGTGGTTAACTGTGGTTATCTCTGGGAAGGGAAACTGTAGTTGGGGCAGAAAGGACTGCACATTCTGCACCTTTGGAATTTTAGTACTCAAACATTTAACAAACACTTTCTTTACAAGATCACAAGCCATTTGATTTTTACAGAATTAAATGGAGTTGGAGATTAGTATGAAAGTAAACTGTGATATCTGACACGAAAAAGTTGTGAAACGTGATGTCTGACACAATACTTGTGTCAATAAACAAGCTACAATAAACAAATAAATATAGAAATGAAAATGAGTCCTGCTCTCAGGAACTTTAACCACAGAAGCATAATAGAGAAGGTGTGGGCTCTGTGTCCTTGAATGCTGGAAGAAGAGCCAACCTCTCCCGTGTTGAGCGCCAGGAAGTACACACACACTCACCCGGCGGGCTTAGAGCTGAGAAGACGTGGACTAGACTCAAGTTGGCGTGTGACTCCTCTCAAAGGAAAAAGGGTGGGTCTGTGTATAGATACACGCACACACACACACACATACACACACAGTGGGTCTGTGTATAGATATACACACACACACACACACACACACACACACAGCCACCACTCCCAAGGCCAGGAGAAGACACTATCCTCTCTCTGCGAAAAGGTGTTTGGCCTTCAACTGTCATGAACAAAGACAGATGTATTTTGCTAAAAGTGGCCAGGTGACCAAGCAGTTTAACAGAAAGTTTGGTGCCCCTGGGTGGTCATGTGTACCAGCAGGTTTCTCATGCTTTAACGGTTTATTCTATTAAAACAAGTTCAACTGTGAAACGGAGTTTGTTCTGGGTGATGTGTTACGGAAGGTATCACTGAAAAATTGTTAACTTTCATCCGCCTCAGTCTCCACCCTGTCTCACTGATCCTCAGTGAGGGTATGTCTATCTTGTTGCAAGCAGGAAGTTCCTTTTTTTACCAGGGGCTTTCCACCCTAGCCAATGCCCAACACTCAGCTAATAGGAGGGGAAGAGAAATTTGGAACTACAACAAAAAATCCAGTTATGGTCTTGCCTAACCTCCCTCACTGGTCAGCACCCTGCAATGTGGTTTTGAAGACATATCTGAACTCTTCTGTTCAGCAGAATCAATACTAAAATAACAGGTCCTGTAAAAGGAGTTGTGAAAACCAAAAACAGCAAGAGGAAAACCTTATGAAAGCTCAGGGTTTTTTCCAGAGACGGTGTTTTCTTTCTCCTCTCTGATTGGCCTGAGTCCAAACAAGCCTGCACAGTTCGGCTTCCAGGCTGCGGTCACCCGCTGTGGGGCTCAGGGCACAGGCCCCCAGAGGACCGGGTGAATCCCTCCTTCAATCTGAGGGCTGGGGAAAGTCGTGGGAAACAAGGGATCATCATATTTCCATGTCAAACCAGACTGAAACAGGTAAGGCACGTCTGGAGGAACCCTCTCCAGAGGAACCTTGTGCTCCGGGAACCCAGGAGCCCGGCCTAAGGGTCTCGGCCAGCGGGCAGGGAATGGGTTCGGCGAGAGGGTTCCCTGCAATTGGCTCATGAGCTGCACTTAACGGATTTTTTTTTTTTTTGCTTAGTTTTTTCGATTAGAAATAAAATGTGCAAAGCACTGAAAACTACAAAGAAAACACGCCTCACGTGCACTCTTTCTGGGCTTCCCTCCCGTGCATAAATTCCCTGTGTTTTATAAAGCTGGGATCCCGCCGGGTTTAACTGGGAGCGTCGCGGGTGCGCGGGGCCGAAGGAGCCGCGGGGCCGAAGGAGCCGCGAGGCCGCTTCTCCCCGGAGACGCCGTGACAAAGCTTCTCTCGGCGCAACGGACAGAGACCACAGCTCCCACCCCGCCGACGGCCGCCGCCCGCCGGTACCTGGGGGCCCGGAGTCCGTGAACTTCCAGCAGAGGCTTCGCTTTCCGGGCTCGGCCCGAGGCTAACGGAGGCGCCCGCTGCCGCGCCGCAGCTACGCGGGAGCCAGGGACCCGCGCGAGCTCAGGAGGGGCTGCGGACCCGGCCTCCGCCTTTATAGAAACCCGGGGGGCGGGGGCGGTGCTGACGCGAGAGCGGAGGAGAAGCCCGGCCCCCTCCGCGCCCTCGCGAGCTCCCGGGCGGGTTCCAGGCGCGGAAACTGGCGGGGCCGCACCTCCCCAAACAGCAGGCTCCTCGGGGGATGTAATTTGCTAGCTCAGGGAACGGAAACACTTCCATTGTAAGGGCTACTTGCCCCGCAGCCCCCAGACAAATGTTGGACGGGGTGGGCGGAAGGCTGGGAGTTGAACTAACCTACCAAGAAAGCCAGGTGCATGGCACGAGCGGTCTCAGATGTTTCCTAGAGTCGGGAGAATAGGTCCTCTTTACACGTGAGCAGACTGGGGCTGCGAGTGGTTAAGGGTCTTCAAGCAGGAGCAGAGGCAAAATTTGAACCAGCTTCAGAGCTCCTGATCAGCCTGCTGCTACCCGTGGGTGGCTCACCTTACACTCTGCCGCCCCATCCACCGGAAGGCATTCCTCCCTCAACACCCAGGGGCTGGAGTTCCACAAGAAAAGGCTGGTTCAAGGTGCACTGGGCAAACATTCAATCTCCCAGGAGTCCTTAACAGCCTAGAGAGTATGAGGCAATAGGATTCTTCTGCCTGTCTGGAATGACCTAAGGGTGCAGAGAAAACCTAAGGACAATAGGTGTCTTGAGGGGAATACAAGTGAGACTCAGAGAAGAGAAGACTGCGAACAGAGAAGTGAGGACCAAGCTTGTGGTGACTGAGGTCAAACTGGCCTACATACTGCACAGCTTCGGAAACTGGCAATTCTGGCAGATTTCAAATGGAAGCCGCCCCTCGAGGGTTCCGTGCTTGACTTCAGGAGAGCTGCTTTTCTGTGGGTCAGCTTCACTGGCAATAAAATAACGTGGATGTTTGCTGCTTCCCCACCGGAGAAAGCAGTTGTATGGGAAGGGTTAAGTTTTGAACTCTCCAAATTAGGTACAATCAGGAACTATAAGCGTGGCGGAGGAAGGGTGTAGCTGCAAGTGAGGCAGTTTCCAAGAAGCTGCAATTTTGTTTGTTAATCATCAACATTTATTATTTCTTCCCTGAAATATAGACAGCCAAAGTATCTTCTTTCAGCTGAAGAACATTAGACCAAGTAGAAGATAAGACATCTAATTTGACTCCACCAATAAATTCATACAAATAAGATAATATCAGAATTGGAGCTTCTGACCTCCAATCTTTAAATAAGATTCGGAAATGCTTTATGAGCTGTGAAGGACTGCTTAAGTAGATGTTATTAATAACACTTAACAGAGAAAAGCAACAGTTGCTAAAATTTATGAACTGAAGATTATTCCATTTTTGTTACCTTTAAGGAAGGTACCAATTTAGGAAGAGATTAAAAGGAACCCTTCAGAGAAAGGGATATCCCAAAAGTTCAGGCAGAAATTGTTTATTAAAGCAAAATGGAAGAAAAGAATAGATATGTATGTTGTTGATGCAAAAAAAGGGCATTATTTAATGTTTGAATTATTGGTGATGAATCACTTAATGTGAAAATAACATAAAATGCCCACTATCCAATACATTTCTGTCTAGCATCCAACAATTTGAAGTTTCCAAAATCATGTTAATGTTAAGAAATAAAGTATAATTTTGTCACAGTTCTTGTATTCAATGATGGTATCCCTTCAGTAACTGTTACCCCTACTATCACAACCCTCATCCTCATGATACAGGTTGCAACATAATTTCTAATTCAACTACTTGGTTGTTTGGAAATACAAAACTATTTTTCTATGGAAAGAATCTTAGAGTTTTTAGGTACTTTCACTAGCCCTTAATTAAGCTGGTGTACCTGAAAGCCTATTGTATTTCACTTAAAACCAAAAACCAAAGGAAGCTATTTTGAGCTGTTGCAATCACCCTATAGAAAAAGAAGTGTTGCGAATTTGTGTTGCTTGCTGTTAACTGGGTTGCATGATAGTCACCTTCTGTTCAATGCACACTAAGCCTCCTGGATACACACTCATCTAAATCTCTGCTATCCAGCTTAGATGCTGAGATTCTGGATAACTCAGCTCAAGAGTGCCCCCACGCCATGGCTGATGCTCTCTGCCAACCTTCGCAAGCACCCAGAATCACCTGAGATATGTCACTTAGCTCTTCTTCCATTATTCCCTAAATGGGAAGCAGGTGAAAACCCATAGTGTTTGGATTGGGATGAAGAAAAGTTAGACTGGACTTCTCTTCCTCCTCCTTATCCCTGGAGTCAAGTCACTGAAGTGTTTGACTCTAAAATGAATAATTCAAATCGATGTGGAAAGATGCACTCAGTGCACTACTACAAAAAACCAAAGTGCCAATCAGAGAAGCTGCCTTTTTTGCAAAAAAAATCTCCTAAATATTTCTTTCCCTTCCTTTTTCTTTCTATTGTTACTCTCATTAGTTAAGCCCAGCCATCCCCTTTCTCTATAGACGACTGCAATAGTCTTCTAACTCAGTTTCCTAACTACAGTCTTGCCTGCAAACCCATCCACCACCATGATGTCTCCCTGGTATAAATATTGTTCCATAGTCTAATCTTCCTACTACAACAAGTGTTCTTTCCAAAATAATTATATTATTTTATTACTATGTTGCCTAACATTTTTCTACAATTCCCCATAGTTTTCAAGATAAAAGTTCAAACTCCTTAGAATGAAACACAAAGCCCTCATATTCTAACTCCTATTTTTTCAGTTAATTGCTGACCATATCTCCACCATTCCATCACTAGGACTGCCTTATGGGCATTGCTTATGTGGTCAGTTAGAATCCATGGCACCAATGTAACACCTGGAACAAAATAAGTACTTTAAATGTGATTTTGAGTGAGTGAATAGTATCCATTTGTCTCATAGATTTATATTCAAAATCATAAAGCCTGAAAAATAAGAATGAATATGATGGTGCAACTAGTTTTATTAAGTGTGCCGTAATGAACTTCTTTAATGACTATACATCTCAATGACTTATGATAATGGAGGCTTGTGTTATTAGATTTCTATCTCAAGGAATTTTTATCTTTGAAATATTTTTAAAGTTCAACATTGTGATTATAAATGAGACATTTTCTCTTCATGTTGCCATGGCTCTGGGGGTTCTATCAAACATCCTATTGGAGGCAGACTTGACTGTTGTCCAAATAGTGAGAAAGATAAATCTCTCCCTATTGCATCCCTACAACTAGGAATAATAGAAGTATCATCTATTATCTGTAAGATAATAGAAGTATCCTTTCCTCTCTCTGTTCCCAAGTAGACAATGCCCTTTTTTAGGCTCTAGAATATTCAGTCTTTAACCCAAAATGCTGAATTTCTAACACTTTTATTTACCAGGTCTCAAACAGAATTTTATAAAAACAGTAACTCTCTCACACATTTTTAAGTTGATTCTCATATTTTTTCTTAACTTCAAACAGTTGCAAAGGATCTAAGTCAGATGTTTAATAACTTTTGATGTATCCAACAATTACATATGCTAGTGATTTGATCCCCTTACCATCCATTTAAAAACACATGTACCACTTCTTGGGCACATTTAACAACTGGATATTTTATATTATACCTTTACCTCCATAAACTGGAGATAAATATTTTCATTCCACTTCCTCCATAGAACTTTCTCTTAATATTGATTGTATGCTTGAAAGACTTTCTAGTCACATTTTACAATTAAAAACATGTGGATTTTGAAATTAAACATTTTTATTTCCTCTGGCCATAGTCTCTAAGTTTTAAATTTTTAACATATTGAGCAATACAAGTTTTATGAATTCATAATTGATTAGGAAGACATAAACATGATATGTTTTGATGAATAATGAGTAAAAGAATAAAATTTTATGAAAAGTGCATTTCTCAATGAGATTTATGGCATTTTAAGAAATTAATTCATGGACAAATGTTACTGACAGTAGAATAAAAAAGCATTCCACAAAAATGCATATAGAAAAGAAAAATTCTTCACATAAATGGAGATAAAAAGAGTTTTGTCATAGCAATGTCATTTGGTTATTTGAACTTCTTCTAAGCTCATATATTAAGAATTACACAGTGATCTATTATAAAAATACTGTTAAGTGGTCTAAATACTGAGTAATTAATGTTTAGTATTAGTACAAATACTAAGTGGCTGAGTGTTTGAGTATTTCCTTCTGATATTTTGTTGGGAAGCAGAGTTGGAAACCATCCAATGTGCCCAAGGATTTGTTACCTGATTATTAGAGTCATTCACTTTCTCACTTTTTTAGGAAGTATACCAAGAAGTCTTTACCAAGACTCAACAAATTAACTACAGATGACGTCTTACTCCTTTACCTGAAAGGATGCTTCTTTAACCCAGGAGTAACAAAGGACTGAGAAAATTACAATATTCTTCTCTTCAATAACTTTTCCAATAAACTGTTGTTAAACATTGAAAAACCTTTTCATCTTCTTTTGATGTTTTTGTCGAAATTTAGAGCTCCAGATTTAGTTAAGTGAAAGATAATGTCCACCACATCAGACAGCCCTCACTGTCCAAACAATCAGCTTAAGGAGATTTTTCTATGAGAAAAATTCTAATTTCATTTTTCAGTTCAAGTAAACCCGGTAATACATGTATCTTAGTGACAACAAACTCACTTGTATTTATACTAGTACTAATATTTCAATTCGAAGATCCATCAAGTGCTGCATGGAGGCTTAATATGACTTTGTTTTGAAAATAGATCAAAACGATGTCATGTTCCCTGTTTCTTAATGACATTCTCTGTCCTTGGCACTCAGGGGGATGAGACTCTCCAGTCTGACAGTCCAAAGTTCCTTGCACTTTCTTTGAAAGAAGGAACTTCTCTGCAATAACACGACTTCCAGGATTCCTTTCATCAAAACAAGTTCTAAAAGGGTGTGACTTAGGGTGCAAAACTGCTGTAAATACCAAAGTTGAATTACACAACCAGATTCTGAAATAGTGACAGGCTTTGCTTTCTTTCAATTTCCTGCTTCCTGTAACTGAGGCTGTTTATGAGAGACAGTATAGTTTAGGGAGGTTGTGCTAGAATTAACTTTTCTCAGAGTTAGATTCGCTGGTCTTAAAGTGTTTTTCCTCTTCTTCGAGATAAAGGTGAGTATCAGCCTTTAAATTACAAAACTCAGTAGATGTGGGTACAAATGACAGCATAATGTGTACGGAGGTATTTTCTTAAATTATGATCCTCTTTCCACCTCCTGGTCTTGTTCACATTTAAATAACTTTAGAGCTCTAAGACATTTAACTTCTAAAGACTCCACAGAAAGGCGGAGGGGTGGGGGCGGGGAGGATGAAGACTACAACAGTAAACAGGTTATTACGAGAAGAAAAGGAACCAGTTTTTTAGGTTTTAATAGCGAAGTCCTTAGGTCACAGGGCTTGCCAGACATGCTAGTGAACATCTGGCTTTGTCACTGAATCGAGATGTTTGATTAACACTTTAGAGAAGTTTAAATGACTTATTTGAAAAATTAACCCTGGGACTTTTGCTTGGAGTGCATAGGTATTGATAACAGAAACTATCTCTTTTTTGATGGCCTCAATAATTTTTCCAGGAAACAGACAGGTAAGGCTCCAGGAATTACTCCACTCATATGGGAAGAACCGACAGGAATTCTGGGTGTGGAAACACATTATGTGGAGAGACAGCATCTAGAAAAATTAAATTCCTTCCTGTTTCTATTTAAAGGACTCCTTTCATTAACAAATGTTAGCATTTGAAACTGAGGCTGGAGATTGTTTTGGAAGAAAAACGAATTAAAAACTTTAGGATTATTTGGAATTTGTAAGTGGGTGAGGGTGCAGAGAGGGGCAGGATCAGAAAGGAGGAAACTTGATATCCTAACATAATGGCACCTCTGTTTGTAATATTTGCTTCTATCTCCCTCTGCCTTTTCTTTTACTTAGTGCAGCTAGTACTCTTACAAGAAACAATATCCGGTTTGGGTTGGCTTTTCGGAGCACGTAATTCCTTACACACAATCAGTATTGCCGTACAAGTCTATACGTGATGCTTCAGCAGAGTCTCCATGCTGTTTACTTTCTGCTCTTTCCTCCTTGGCCTCAAGTACAAGTGAACCATACACAGCATTAGTAATTGCACCACAGAAGCTGTGAGCTCCTGAATTTATGTGGTGTGTCAGCAGATCATATCTGTCTAGTGTGCATGATTTTGGGTAGGGGTGAGTGTAGGTTAATTCACAACTTGGTCAACACACAAGACCAAGGCAAATGCCAAGTGGAGCCTTTATATCCACTGACCAAAATAATTACTTCTCTTTTCCTACTTCCTCCTTCCAAACTCTGTCACCATGAAAAACAAAATACTTAAAATTATTTTTGCAAAAATTTATTTTCACTTCAAATATTCTTTGAGACTGAGACAAATTACCCAAGTTCTTCCACCATCAGATAACAGAATTATTTCACATCTTCCGTTTAGATGAGTGGTGTGCCAGTTTAACTTTAAACTTAAAAATATATTTTAAAATTAAAAAAGCTATACGTAAATCATGATGGATATTACAAAACCTCACAAAATAAAACTGTGAAATGAGCATGTCTGAAGTGCTAAGCTGGAGCAATCTCCCCTGAGATGCTATGTAATTTTCGTTAAGAACAAGTGTGTGGATTTCAAAATATTTCTGAACTTCCACACCTCCTCCCATTGCAAAACAATTTCACTGATCCATTCTCCCAAACAGAACATACACTACTTTAACTATCCCTTAATCTATTTCAGAGAATGTTGGCTTTTCAGCATAAAAATGTTCATTTTAAATGTTTTTATTTCCTGAAATTTTAAGCATCCTATGGGTTAAAGAGCTCTAACAAGACTACAAAAACTTCTGGTGTTAAACTCATTCCATATATGTGATTGTATCTGTTCCCTCTCTGTGTGAGGGAATCTGTTTCTTGTTATCTATTTTTGCAGGATGTGGTCATCTGTTTGGTTCATAAAGTTCTGTGACATAGACAAATTGAAAAATAAGCATATCTGATGCTATCATTCTTCTATGTCTGAAGAACAGAGGAGATGATCATGGCTTAAAATCAGTTACATATTAATACAATTTTCCTAATGTATGATATACAAACTACTAATTTTAGGTGGTACATGTCCAAATTTTGGAAATTGACTTATGTGCTTAGTTTAATGTAAATTACAAGTGTAATTAGCTTACAAAATCTCTGATTTCATGGATATTATTGCTTAGGAAGATGTTAAGTAAAAACAAAGTAAGTCAGTTTACTATTAATTTACAGAAATGATTAAATACTATTAGAGGTAATATACAAATATAGTAAAAATTGTAATGTGGCATGAAAATGGCTAACATGTTGGAAATATTGCACAATGTGTTTGAGAGGTGGATATTTTCTGAACCAGTGCAGTATCTTTGAACTTAATTGGTCCTTGGTTATAGAGCTCAATTGGTAATACCCTGTTGAATTTTCTAATTATAGAGGTACATAATATTTGATTGATAAAGAAACACTTTATCAAACTTTTATCAGATCTGAAGTCTTCACGAATTGTCATAAAATTGAAGAGATGTAGAAGGCAGCCAGTACTTCTTGAAATAATAATCAGAGCAAGGGTGAATTATCCCCAAGTAAACATTATAGCACCATCTTCCTGTTTCACAGAGACAGATATCTCTGAAGGGTGGGGAGAGGGTAGTCCTGAAGGGTGAGAGTTGGAAAGAGGACCAGAAACCTCACTTAGGTCAAGGGACATAAATGTGTCATGACATGTGCCAGTGCCTGCTGAAAATGGTCATGTTGGTCATTTCTTTTTTGGAATCCTTTCTAGGGAGGAAATAATTCTAAATATGGAGAAAATTCACAAGATATCTGTCATAAGTGTATTTAGAAAAACAAAAAATTGCAAGCATTTGAACAAAGGGAAAAGGTTAAGCGAATTACAGTACAGTCTTTCCCCCTTATCCACAGTTTCAATTCCTGCACTCTCAGTTACTCCGTGTCAGCTGGGGTCCAGAAGCAGATGGTCCTCCTTCTGACGAATCCTAAGGTCAGTAGTAGCGTAGCTCTACATCACAGTGCTCCATCATCCATCTCATGTCTTCTTATCTAGTAGGCATCTTATCATCTCACATCGTCACAAGAAGGGTGAGTATAACACAGTAAGATGTTTTGAAAGTGAGAAAGACCACATTCATGTAACTTTCATTACAGTATATTGCCATAATTTTTCTATTTTATTATTCTTGTTAATTTCTTACTGTACCTATTTATAAATTAAACTTTATCATAAGTGTGTATATATAGGAAAAAGCAAAGTATATGCTTAGCAAAACCCAGTATATGACCCTTGAACAATGCAGAGATTAGAGACATTGACCCCCTGTGGAGTTAAACATCCATGTATAATTTTCGACTCCTCCAAAACTTAACTGCTAATAGCCTACTGTTAACTGGAAGCTTTACCAATGGCATAAATAGCCAATTAACACAGATTTGTATATTTTATGTATTATATATGTATTCTTACAATGAATTAAGTTAGAGAAAAGAACATGCTTTTCAAATAGTTGCAAATCTCCAAAAAGTTTTCCAATGTATGCATTGAGAAAAATATGTGTGTAAGTGGACCACGCAGTGCAAACCTGCATCATTCAAGGGCCAAATATATAGCGTCCAATACTATCCTTGACTTCAGGCATCCACTCGGGGGCTTGGGATGCATCCCCAGAGGAAAAGGAGGACTGCTGATGATGGGATGAAGAATAGCACAGCGTAGAAAACGCTGAGTGAAAAACAGATTCAGGATCATTAATGATTATACTTAGAACTGCCTAATACATCCCTAAAATAGTATGGTGTAAATTCACAAATACTATACAAGTGACTGTTGCCTTACAGGGATATATTCATTGTTCCTATCTCTTCCCTTTCTCTGTTTTTGAATATATAATATGATATTTTATTTCATTTATTTATTTTCTTGGGTATCATTAATCTACAATTACATGAGGAACATTATGTTTACTAGACTCCCCCCATCACCAAGTCTCCCTGACATACCCCATCACAGTCACTGTCCATCAGCTTAGTAAGATGCTGTAGAATCCCTACTTGTCTTCTCTGTGTTGAACAGCCCTCCCTGTGCCACACCCCCCCCACATTATACATGCTGATCATAAGGCCCCCTTTCTTTCCCCCCACCCCTTATCCCTCCATTCCCACCAATCCTCCCCAGTCCCCTTCCCTTTGGTAACTGTTAGTCCATTCTTGGGTTCTGTGATTCTGCTGTTGTTTTGTTCTCTCAGTTTTTTCTTTGTTCTTATACTCCACAGATGAGTGAAATCATTTGGTACTTGTCTTTCTCTGTCTGGCTTATTTCACTGAGCATAATACCTTCTAGCTCCATCCATGTTGTTGCAAATGGTAGGATCCGTTTTCTTCTTATGGCTGAATAATATTCCATTGTGTATATGTACCACCTCTTCTTTATCCATTCATCTACTGATGGACACTTAGTTTGCTTCCATTTCCTGGCTATTGTAAATACTGCTGTGATAAACATAGGGGTGCATCTGTCTTTTTCAAACTGGAGTGCTGCATTCTTAGGGTAAATTCCTAGAAGTGGAATTCCTGGGTCAAATGGTAAGTCTATTTTGAGCTTTTTGAGGCACCTCCATACTGCTTTCCACAATGGTTGAACTAGTTTACATCCCCACCAGCAGTGTAGGAGGGTTCCCCTTTCTC